TGTACGAGTATGCGAGCTGGACCGCTAAAAACAACTTAAGCTTGAAAAAGGGATACCAAAGAGAACTTACCTTGGCTCTGTACAACTCAAGAATAACTGAACTTAATATAAAGCAATAAGACACGAGCCATACATATAAAGCTTGTAAAAGAATGTAAACAACTTAGATCGTTAAGGATAAAATGATAACAAACTAAACTTTTCTTTTATAAACATAATACAGCTTTTGTGGGAGGTTCTTTAACCGACAACCACCACTACGAGCCTTAGTGATGATACAACGTTTTACCTCACGTTGCCAAAGGACCATCCTATACCTTGCCATCGATATAGGACCTTACTTTTGCTTAGTGGATCCACTAGCCTAATCTTACGTGATCATCTAAAAAGAATGATACGTCAAGTCCCATGTTGGCGCATGGTTCTTATGGAGAGTCGAGTTAATATGAACTCGTGTCCCCAATTCGGTGCTCAATACTACTCCCAAAAATACTTTGGCTCATGCTTTTAAAATAACTTCTTTCTTTGATTGAGACGATTACTCAAAACTTAGCCCAAAGGCTCTTTTGGAAGACATGGCTCCTTTCTTACTTAAATGTAAAAACATTTAGAACTTCTTTGGGAAGTACATAGTTCCCTAATAACTTTGGAGAAATGGACTCGACTCTTTACTCCTTACTTTACTTAAACTCTTTACTTTTTGACTTGAAACTCTTAACTCAACTTGAAACTTGAAACGACGTTAAGACGTTCAATAACGACTCTTGAAAAGCTTTAAAGACTTGCTTTGACTTGCTTAACTTCTAAGCTTGGTCCTAACTCCACTTGACTTCTAACTTCACTTGACTTCTAACTTCACTTGACTTGATCCTAACTTTCTTGAATTTAATTATGGATTCAAGGACTTGATTGGTATTTGGAAGGACCCCGGGGTGTTTAGGAATGATTTAGGAATGATTTGGGACAGCCAAACTAAAGAAAATCTTCGAACATAAATTCTGAAAACAGTGGAGTCCGCGTCCTGTCCGCGACGCGGAGAAGATTTTTGTTCACAGAGGGAACAAGTCCGCGACGCGGACGTGCTCCTCGCAAGCTGCCCGACTTTCTCCTTCACGTCTCCAACTCTAAATCCTCTAACCTCAAGGGTTCCAGCCCCAATCACTTAGAAACATAATATCCCTCAACATTCAATAGAATACCACTCAAAACACAATCCAATCATGTTCCACAACCCCCAATAATTCCAACAACAACAACAACCAACTTTAACAACATAACCAAACCTTTCTTAATGAATCAAAGGGGTTAGGTGTGTGGGGGAAAGGATCACCCAACACTAAAAGCTCACATACCTTGGTAGGGATCACCCCCGACGAAAATCCACGATGATCTCCTTGCTTGATCTCCTCTTCTTCTCTTCTTCTCTTCTTCTCTTCTTCTTCTCTTCTTCTTCTCTCAAAACCCTCACTCTCACTTCTTTTAAAATGGTAAAACTGATCAAAATGATCAGCCTAACACATTTATAAAACCAAAATAAAAGGCTAGGGAAAAGACCAAAATGCCCTTAATGATTCCCGGACGGATTTCCTTGTCAACTGCCCAACTTTCAAAGGTCATAACTCGCTCATACGGACTCGGAATTGAGCAAACTCGGTGGCGTTGGAAAGATCGTTCCGAGGGCTATGCAACCATAACTGGAAATACTTCTAACTCATCATGAGCTAGAAGTTACGACTGATCAAAGTTGGCCAAAAACTCACCTTTTCCATACTTAGCCAAATTTCCAAAACTTTAAAATTCTTTCCAAAAAAAGAAAAATTCCAATCCTAAGCCTCTTCAAAGCTATTTCAAATTGTCGGATGTTACAGAAAAAGTAGGAATTTTGGGTGTTGAGAAAGTAGGGTTTTCGGGGTTTGGAGAAGTTGGAGTCTCAGGCTTTGAGAAACTAGGAGTCTCCGGTTTTGAGAAAGTAGGAGTCTCGGGCTTTGAAAAAGTAGGAGTCTCAAGCTTTGGGAACTAGGGTTCTCAGGCTTTGAGAAACTAGGGGTTTCAGGCTTTGAGAAACTTGGGGTAGCAGGCTTTGAAAGACCGGGGGAATTGGAGAAACTGGGGTAGTGGGCATTGAGAAACTAGGGGTAGTGGGCATTGAGAAACTAGAAGTTTGTAGAATGTGACATGCTGTTATAGTTGTAATCATGTGGTCATGTATAAAGTAGATAAATGCAAGCAATAAGATGGAGGACAATTTGGAATGCTGAGCCATTTTTCTGCAGATGCAAGAAGCTTAGAGTAACATGTGTTAAGAGCAAATGAAGTTTTGAAATTCCAATAGTTTTTCATTTAGCTATATATAGATTTTTACAAGAATATAAAAAGGAGGATTTTTTCAATATTTGATACGTTAGTTGACCTATTTGTCTGCAAATATTATAGTATCTAGAATTTGTCTTGTAATAGCAATATCATAGTATCTTGAATATCCCTAAAATAAAGGAATACTCAGATTTACTAGCGTATATGAGATTATTAAGGAATCAAACTTTTGATAAATATTTACTAATCATCTTTAAATTGTTAATTACAATGTATTTTATGTCCTTTCTTTATTTGTTGTTTGTGTCTTTAGATCAAATCAAAATAAAAAGTGGATATAAGAGAGCCATCTGCAAATATTATAGTATCTAGAATTTGTCTTGTAATAACAATATCATAGTATCTTGAGTGTCCCTAAAATATAGGAATACTCCGATTTACTAGCTTATATGAGATTATTAAGGAATCAAACTTTTGTTAAATATTTACTAATCACCTTTAAATTGTTAATTACAATGTATTTTATGTCCTTTCTTTATTTGTTGTTTGTCTCTTTAAATCAAATCAAAATAAAAAGTTGATATAAGAGAGACACAATATATCTTAATAAAGTATAGTTTAACTTGACACGCATACCACTCTATCACGATAATGATGACAATGTTGGTTCTTCCTTGTACAAAAAAATCATTACACTTTTGTTAAATGTTTTTAAAATCAAAATATAAACTCCATCAATCTTATTTTATAAGGCATTGGTTTGACTGAATATTGCATCTTATGTTCACTTGATATAAGTATTTATATTACTAGATTCATGCATAATTCGATAAGGTGAGGTCTAGGGAAATTCTCAAAAGGATTGGGTAAAATGTATAAGCTTTGGTTAGTCATTCTTTTAGCTATGACGTTAAGGAATTTGTAGGACTTTTCATAAATGAATTGGGGTGAGTAGAACTCGACGTTATCAAAATTGGCATGAATAGGTTGGTCTGGGATGTCAATTTTTGAAGGTGTGTTGAAAAATGGAAACTTTTTGGAGTATTTTTGCGTTTTTATCCCATGCAAGCTTCCATAGTGGGTGACACACTACTTTTGCGGTGTAATTAACTCCCGCTACAGAGGTCTCACTATAGCACTTCCACTATAGTGGGATTGAGCCGCTTTAGCGGGATTGGTCACAATTAATGGAGAAAATTCCCCAAAGCCACTAATTATTTGGAAAGTACGTTTTGGGGAAGAACAAGGGCGATTTAATTAGGGAGAATTTCAGCTATTTGTCATCAAGAACCTTCGTAAATGTAAGTAATCCAGTCTTCAACTTCATACTTTGATTCCCTAGGCAATTGAGGTGCTATTAGGGACTCTAGGGAACACTTTGGTTTTGTTCCTAAGACGGGAAGATCTGAGTTACTGAGGATTTTGGGTTGTAAAGCCTTGGGTTAATTGTTAAATGTTTTTCTTGATTTATCTATTGTTATTCACTTATGTAGCTATGGAATTGGTAGCTTTCGGTGAATTAATGGTGGAAAAGCCCTGGATTGGGTGAGAAGATCATAAGTTTGGCTTGGGGTTGAGATTAAGTTGTAATATGAGTATAATTAGGCGATTGGAGATTGAATCTTGTACTTGTTTTGTTAATTGTAGACCAATAACAAGCTAGGTAGGATTTGTAACAGACTCAGGTCCAATAGAGCTTTCAAGGCTTGATTCGAGAAAGGTGATAGTTTATTGTTTCCAAGTTATGTAATGTATGCATGATAACTGTTTTTATCATATTGTTTCTCCAATGCATGGTTAGGAAGATCAAATAAATGTAAGGTGATACCTTATACACCATCACATGCAATGAAGGTGTTTAATTTACTTGTGTTTACAAGTGTTATTGTAGTTCATTATGATTATGATTGTGTGTTGTGTGACCATTGGTTGGCTTGGGTACCTCACCAGCTACATATATTAAGTTGGCTCAGGTACCACGCCTAGTACAGGTTACTACATGGTTGGATCAGGTAATAAACCTAGTTTGCCTTGGTACCACGCCTAGTACATGTTTGATTATGCTCATGTACGTTATTTCCTTGAATTAACTACATATTGTTTTTCTAATTATTTATTAAATGAAAATATAAATTTTACTCTAATGCTATCACTTCTATTTATAGTAATTGAGTTAAATTCAAATCATTTTATGCTCCATATCTAAGTGTATCCGATCCTTTCAAATTAATATCTATCTATATAAATCAGAGAAGAAAAAAGAAGTCTGACACTCTTATTTATAGGAAAAACATTAATTATATTTTGTAAGTTTTTAAATTGTTTGAATTAGAAAATTCTTAGTTGTTAGCACTAACTAATTAGGAACGAAACTAAATAAGGGTGAATTATTTACTAAATTAGATATTATCACTTTGAAATATATGTAGTTTATGGATCCAACCTCAGAATGTCAATTTTTAGTCAAAATATTTTTTATTAGGAAAATAATTTAGTGTGATTTAAAAGTAAATTGTATCCACGAAAAGATGTGATAAAATAATAACAAATGTGTTTTCATACACAAAATATTATTATAAATACCCAAAGGCTAATTACATTAGATGAATATTACCATTACAATTTAAACATTCTGCCTCTCGTACTCAAAAATCTGTGATTATAATTCCTCTCCTCCATTAACTCACATGGCTTCAAAAAGTAACAACCTTAAGCAATTGATCCTAATTCCATCTACCGACTCTGACGACTGTCAACAATCCATCAATGGCATCAATGATGCCAACAAAGTGTCGAGGCTCCCTTGTTGGACCAAACAAGAAATTCTCGTTCTCATACAGGGAAAAAAAGTGGTTCAAGACCGGATCCATCGAGCCCGAACCGGAGGTATGGAATTGGGTTCAACACAGGTCGAAGCGAAGTGGGATTCTGTTTCATCCTACTGTAAAAGACAAGGGGTGAATCGTGGACCGATTCAATGCCAAAAGAGATGGAGTAGTCTGGCTGGGGATTTTAAGAAGATTAAAGAGTGGGAGTCTCAGATTAAAGAAGAAAAAGAGTCATTTTGGATGATGAGGAATGATTTTAAGAGAGAAAAAAAATTACCTGGATTTTTTGATAGACAAGTGTTTGATATTCTTGATCATGGAAATGGCAATGAAGAAGGGTTAGATTTGGCTTCCGAGAGAGAAGTTTTGTTTGATAGTGGCAGAAGTGTTGTTGTAGGGGATGATGGGTTGTTTTCAGATGTACCACAAATGAATGAGAATGCTATTCCTATGCTAACTTTAGAGGAGCCACATCAGCCACTCTCTCAAGTTTCTCCTACACAAGCAGGTGTAAGACAAACTACCACTCGAGGAGCTGATAAAGGAAGAGGTCAAGAAGGAAGGAAAAGAAAGCGAAACGACTCAAATGATGAAAAAACAAGGAATGTCCAACATCATTTAGTAAAAGCACTGGAAAGGAATGGAAAAATGGTGAGCTCCCAACTTGAAGCTCAGAATATTCATTCTGAACAGGATAGGGAGCAAAGAAAGGACCATGTTGATAGCTTAGTAGTTATGATAAACAAGCTTGCAGGTGCTTTAGGAAGAATTGCAGATAAGTTATAGTGCCTAGTTCATTTAATTACAATGCAAAATATGATCTTTTAAGCTTTCAAAGACTTAGCCTTGGCTAAAAACAACACATCACGACTACAGAACAAATAGTTACTTTTTCTTAATTCTTTTTATACACAAATATCTCTATGTTTTGTCACAATTTCTAGTCAGCCAGGCTCCTATGTATATCTCACCACTTGGGCTTGCTTGCTCGGTTTGCAGAAACATTGTATACAAATCATAATATCTCGCTTCTAGGTGTCATTGTATTAGCATGAATTCCTTTAACCTATGGCATCCAATATCAAAAGTTTTGTTGAAATGTGTTTCCTCAGTCATTTAGGTCATCAAGAAAGTTTTAAAAATTGAATATTTTAATTGTGGAAGATATCATATTTAGTATAATTACATGTTGTTTTTAAATATATTAAAAACTAAATCTTGCTTAAATTTGTTTTTATTGATGTGCATTACTCAGAAACATGTTACTTGACTCACATTGAATAATTTTCTAAGCTAATTTTTAGGGCAAAAACTGAGATAATTTCAAAAAACACTAATGAGAATGATGCATTTAAACATAGTGGGGAAAGGGAAGTCATATCCTACCTTTAGGAAGAATACACACAATCCAAATCATGACTTGGAGCAGTTCCATTCTAAACAACCTCTGAACACTACCACACTATCAAGAATGGAATCACAATATTAATACAGTTGTTTAGACACTAAAGTTACATATAATAGATACATACCTAAATTGGAGTAAGAATGTGAAATATGGGACCCGCAGCAAAAATTCCAAAATCGACTCTGTCAAAAGGTCTTAATTACCTCCCTAAACCTTTGTCCCAAAATGGAACACAATTTGGGGTTTGGAACGTAGCAAACAATAACATGCAACATAAAACATCATTAAAGCTAAAAACAAGGGATAGGCAGCCCCTTTGGGGTTGAAAATACCTCGAACTGATTCTCCCCTATGCTCCCCAAGTACTCTAACGCATAGCCCCGCGTTCCCCAATCACACCCAACCTTGAATCACCAAATTTAGAGTCCCACAACTCTCATAATCAAATTACAAACTTTATGTGAAAGTTGATCGTGTCAAGTCTTAATACTGTTGCAGGTGCAGCAAAAACATCCAAAAATTCCGTGAAAGCACCTGGGGGTAAGACAGAAGGACCGCGCTAAAGCAAACCTTGGCCACTAAAGTGAAAGTATCTTAAGCAACATGGCCTAAGATGGCCAGACTCGCTAAACTGAAGTCTTGACAGCTAAAGTGTTGCCTGCTTAAGCGAGCCAAGGATGCTAAAGCAGATGCCACCTGGATGTCCTAGCCTGCTAAAGTGGAACCCTGGTCGCTAATGCCATACCAGGGCAACAAAAGTGGGGGCACCAACACCAGGCACAAAATTTTTAGGTAAGCCTCTGGGCTTCACTTAGGTGCTCGGCATTGGTTCGGAATCTCATGCATGCAAACAAGATATGCAACCCCACCAAATTCAACATTCCAAATTCAATTGAGAAGTTAAAGCTTCAAACTAAGGTCGTCTTGACAAAAAATGGGTCCCACACCTAAGCTCCATTTTAAGCCAAAGCTCATAAGGGGGCTCACAATTAGCCTTGAAGCCTCCAGATCCACACGAAAGATCATTCTAGACCAAACTTGATGTTTCGGAGCTAACGGAACCCTCATAGTTGCATTTTGAGGTCGTCTTTATGAATTTTTGACCGAAGTCAGCCGTTCAAGCTTCAAAATATTCAAAGCACATAAACTTGCACAAAAACAAAATGAACGACCAGTTGACTGAACAGTTAGTCTCAACATGTCATAAATCACTTGAGTTCATTATAGGAATGCTCTAAATGATGAAAATAAGATATTTACACCGAAATGGCATGGAGGATCATTACAGTTAATCAAGTTTCACTATCAAGAACAAATAAGTCTAAGTTTTTCAAAGTTATGCTTGTCCATTCACAATAGTCATGTCCATTATTGTACAGTCTTCCTCTTATAAACGCTATAAAATGATAAATTAGTATAAGGAAGTATGGAAAAATGAACAACAACCACCCACACACATATATATATGTTTGTGTTCTCTTATGTTCAATGTTTCTTCCTTAAACGTGTCTAATTATGCTCTTGCTCAGTCCTTAAGCTCCCTAGGCCCGTTATAGTTGATTTGAGGATGAGGGTTGACTTACCTACTCGTGGATTTTAGTAGGTGTCATCATGACTTTAGTTTTAGGTCATGACATGGAAAAACAAAAGTTGAAAGTTTATTCATTTTATGAAAAACATTCAAGAAGATCATGAATTAACTACATATTGTTTTACTAATTATTTATTAAATGAAAACATATATTTTACTGTGATGCTATCATTTCCATTTATAGTAATTGAGTTACATTCAAATCATTTTGTGCTCCATATCTAAGTATATCCGATCCTTTCAAATAAATATCTATCCTTATAAATCAGAGAAGAAAAGTCCGACACTCTTATTTGTAGGAAAAAAATATATTTTGTACATTTTTGAATAGTTTGAATTAGAAAATTATTAGTTGTAGCAGTAACTACTTAGGAATGAAACTAAATAAGGGTGAAATATTTACTAAATTAGTTGTTATCACTTTGAAATATATGTAGTTTATGGATCCGACCTCATAATGTCAATTTTTAGTGAAAATATTTTTTATTAGGAAAATAATCTTGTGTGATTTAAAAGTTTGCGCTTCGCACTTTCATAAATAATAATTGCATTGAACTTGCAAATAATCCTTTACTAATATCCATACATTAAAAAAAAATAGGATCTTAAAAAAAGATTAACAATATTCTAACATGAATTTGATTATTTGTCATTATCACATAACTCAAGAACCTCTAATGGATGAATTATTCAGGAAATAATATATTGTTGGTTCTTTAATCAATATTATTAAAAGGAAAGTAATGAAGAAAATAAGAATATATATACAAAGACATTTCGTAAGAAAAGAACACATTAAAGTTGCATAGATTATACAATTGTGATATGTGTCTCGGGAAAAAATTCAAAAATTTGTGAACAGATTCAAAAAAGTAATTACGCCTGAACATGAAAGCAATTATAACTTTTGAACTATCATAATGAATTTCTTCAATTGATAAGTGAAGAAACTTCATATCTATGTTAAAATAGATAATATGTAAGCTTATATGTAGTACTTTTAAGTCATAGAATATCAAAACATGAATTCTTGGAACTGAGTACAATAATTATTTTCTGCACAATGAATATACATACTATATGTGTATTTGTTCAATATAACTAGAGACAATAACTTTGCAGAAACATAAACAACAGAGTTTAAAACATCTATTCAAAAATAACAATTAACATCTTAAGCATAAATTAATAACTGTAAAAAATACCAGGATATGTAAAATTAGAATGAAATAGAAAGGAAAATATCAAGTCCACTAAGTGCAAAGTTTCCCCTTAAGAAAATTATTCCCCTCTAATACATGAGGTTTAAAGAATTAGATCCTCTTAGGATGGAACGATTTTATTCACCGACGTATTAATACAAAAACAATGGTGTCAGTAAGCCACTCAACAGGAGCAAAGTACATGAATATTTAATTGTGCAGAAGAAGAAGAAGTTCAGAATTTTCATTGTTTTAAAATGAGAGAAAATCCCTCTATTTATAGACAACAATGGGTAGTGTGAACAAATGATTATTGTACCTTATCGGAAAGGTCACAACTCTTTGGAAATGTCACAACCCTTCGTAAAGGTCACAACCTTTCATAAACGTCACAACCTTACATAAAAGTCACAACTCTTCATAAAAGTTGCAACTTTTCTTAAAAGTCACAATTTTTCATAAAATTCACAACTTTTCATGAAATGAGAAGGCTAGTTTTGGAAATAAATAAATTAAAAGGAAATTCTGGTCTATGGTGACGCCACGTAGGCGGGCCTAAGGTTCTCTCTTATATATGATGATATATATGATTATTAAGAATATTAAAATAATTGTAGATAATTTAATTTGATGGAGAAAACATTACATTATATGAATACTTAAAAGTTGTGATCAACGATCTACAAAATAATACGTAATATTTTTAGTAAAATACGATAATATTTGAGACGTCATAGTTAAAGAAATAAAAAGTCTAATATAACTTCAAATATATAAACTATACTTATATCGATTGCAGACAAAATTAGGCTTTTATGGAACAATAGTGACAGAAAGAGTAGGTACTACAAGAATATCATCAATCGTTATGGTAGAGATGTGGAAAGAATAAATATTTATTAATCCTTAATTAGACGTCTTAACTTTGAGCTTCGGGAATGGAGTCACTTTTGGTGACACAAATCATGAGTTTCTGGTGACTAAGCAGGAAGGGGCAAATGCAGCACGAAATACTAGATTCATATGAACCTGGTAATTTTTGCGCGGAGTTTATGTGTAAAAATATCACTAAAATCAAAATAAATAATAGGCCAGAATCCATACTTTTAATTTACAGATAGAATAATTTAAATGTTAAGAATCTTAAAAATTGAACCGATAAAACATAAATTCTTCATAGGCACTTCAAATTTCCTTTACATGATGAAACCAAATAGAGCCTTTTTCAAAATGTGATGGAAAAAATGGTTCAATCGACAAACAAGGATTGAGCAGAAATAGAGATCATGGCCGGCCAATGATATATTGGAACTAAGCTAGAGTAAAACACTCACTCATATAATATAAAAGAATTGCAATTTCTACTCCTAGCAGAAAGTATCCAATATGTTCTACCAAACTCATAGCTCATCTCGTAAACTTGATAGACGTACTGAGATGGAAATCTTTAAACATCGGTTGAGTACTGTTAGATCGAGAAAGATTTTGATAATTGACAAATAGAGGAACAGAGGAAAGGAACCTGTTGCGTCAACATGTTCCTTTCAGACCGAATCCGACCGGGATAAGGAGAACATCAACCAAGCGAATTAGAAGTTATAAAGCGGTGGAAGGGTTCCTTTTTCGACAAGAAACCAGTGCAAAAAGGTGTCCTTTCATAAAGAAATCCTAAGCAAAGTAGGAAGCGTAAACGAAGTAGGAAGCATAAGCAGAGTAGGAAGTATAACGGCGTGAATAACTTTCAAATCCGAAACAGAGTAGGAAGCATGATCAGATATGTAAATCGAGTTCAAGTTGAAAAAGGTTTTGAAGAGTTCAAAGTCTATAAATAGGGCAATATTTTCTTTGGAGAAACTTGCACACTTAAACAAAGAGTTACAAGCAGAATACAATCAAATAGAGGGAGTTCATATTTGAGTGATTTCTGATTACGAAATGTAGCCAACGCAAGGAAACAAGAATTGAAGAACTGATTCATAGGCTTATGTTTTATAGTTCTTAAGTCAACTTTGCGTGTATTGAGTTTTTATCGAGTTGTATCTTTAATTCTTTCTAGACTCAGTGAAGTATAAATTGGAGTAGGAATAGAGTCTTCAAGTTGGGGCGACTTAAAGACTTGGGAACATAAACGTAGGGGGGTTTGTGTTGGAGTTTAGGAATTAGAGTTAGTTCCTGAGTTGTAATCCGAATTCATAGCTTGAAGTGGGGTTGACAATCTAGTTGGTTGTTGGCGTCTAGGAATTAGAGTTTATAATTCCTTAGGTTACATAGGTTTGTAATCTTTTGTTGAGGCTTGGAGTTTAATGAAGTAGAGTTAAATCCTACAGAGGTGTAGGTCGTGGTTTTTTACCCTTTATGAGCCGGGTTTTCTGCGATAAAATATTGTGTCATTAATTTATTTGCTTTACATAATATAACTGTTGTGATCTTCAAAGGAACAAATAGAATATACCAGGTCCTTAGGCAAATCTGGGGTCAGTATTCTAACAAGTACTTACTAATAGATTGAGTAGCATATAATTTGCTCAAGGAGTAGTATGGTGGAGAAAGTGAAGGAAAAGTTGGTTCAGGCATTTTCGGGATTTCAGTCTTTTGAATCTCAGGAACTTTTGGCTTTGGTAGTTGTGGGATTTCTGGGTTTTTCAAGGGAGGAAGCTCGGGTTTTAGCATTGCTGGAATATCAAACATTCTGGTTTTGGGACAGTTGGGAATTCAAGCTTTGGCAAAGTTGGTAATACAGGTTTTGGACCGGATAGAGTAGCTTATTTTTTATTTTCTTGTGAAGAGAGAAGTCCTGGATTCACAATATACCACAAATGTCAATACAATTCTCCAAGAAATGAAAAAGAAGAAGTCAATACTGAAAGAATAGTATATCAAATTCATATAAAAGGACTGTTGCATTGCATACAGGGGCAGATTTAGATAGGATGAAGGGCATCAAAAATTTTAACAAATACATATATGTAAAATAAAATATTTCAATTATAAATAAAAACAAATGAAATCACTTCCTGTAGCCTGTTGGTTCACTGGCAAAGCACCTAACTTTGCTAGCAAACTTAGCACAGTTACTCAATAACTGTCATCTTTCATTTTAAAAATTTAGAGTTTTATTGTTTGATAAAAAAGTGATGCCTGGTAGAATCGAGAATCGATACGACTTTCTACCTTTTGTAAGGAAAAATTATACTAAATCAGTTAGCCACAACAACTTTTGTTGTACAAAGGAACACTTTTAGAGCAGGCGAAATAGAGGTAACTGAATCCATTTAATATGTGTTAGGATAAACGAAACAAAAAGTAAAAATAGCTAAATCATCAATTTAGTTCTACACTTAAATATGCCAATTCATTCTTTGTTCCATATATATACTCTTAAAATGTAATGGGAAAAATTGTTTACTATAAATTAGGAAAGAAAATACCAAGAGGGAAAGAGTGTACGAATAAGGATTGAGAAAAAACAGAACTTGCCAATGATACAAACTAAATCAAAATAACATAGATCATAGCTTATTTATAACGAAGAACATAAAACACTCATATAGCATAATGACACGTCAAATGGTACATCCAATTCAAATACTATAAAAGAATTACAATTCTCTACTCCTAGCAGAAAGTATCCAATACTATCTCCATGCCTCGACTCAGGTCACAAACTTCATTTAATGAGGTGGAAATCACAAAACATAAGTAGGTTACTTTCTAATAGAGTGAAAGTAGTATATAATTTCCTCAAGGAGTATCAGGTTTGTAAGATGGAGAAAGTGAAGGAAGAGTTGGTTTAGGTAGTTCTGGAATTCAAGGCTTTGGCATAGTTGGGACTTTTAGATTTGGAAACCCGGGGACTCTTGGCTTTGGTAGTTCTGAGATTTCAGACTTTGGCATAGTTGGTAATTCTGGCTTTGGTAGTTCTGGGATTTCAGGCTTTGGCATAGTTGGTACTTCTAGCTTTGGATGTTCAGGGACTTTTGGCTTTGGTAGTTTTGGAATTTTAGATTTTGGCATAGTTGGGACTTTTATCTTTGGAAGCTCGGGGACTTTTGGCTTTGGTAGTTCTGGGATTTCAAGCTTTGGCATAGTTGGTAATTCTGGGACTTTTAGCTTTGGTGGTTCTGGGATTTCAGGCTTTGGCGTAGTTGGGACTTTTAGCTTTGGAAGCTCTGGGGTTTTGGCTTTGGTAGTTCTTGGACTTCAGGCTTTGGCATAGTTGTTACTTTTGGCTTTGGAAGCTCTGGGGCTTTTGGCTTTGGCAGTTCTGAGATTTTAGGCTTTGGCATAGTTGGTACTTCTGGCTTTTTCAAAGAAGGAAAATTGAGTTTTGGCATTGTTGGAATCTCAGGCTTTGGCATAGCTGGAAGCATGGGTTTCGGCACAACTGGAATCTCAGGTTTGCAAAGTCGGTAATTCAGGATTTGGCATAGCTGGCATCTTAGGCTTTGGCAAAGTTGGTAACTCAGGCTTAGGGAAAGTTGGTAGCTTGGGCATTGGAACAACGGGGATCTCAGGCTATGGTATGGTTGGAAGCCCAGGCCTCGGCAGAGTTGGGATTTCAAGCTTTGGCAAGGCTGGAACCTTTGGTAGTTCTGGTTTAGGTATCTCAGGGACGGGCGTCTCTAGGAGGTGGCGTGCAACCGCACCAGTTATGTTGCCATAAATGAAGAATAAATTAAGAAATGCAAGTAGTAAGAGGGAGGATACGTTGTAATGCTGACCCATTTTTATGCAGATAGTTGAAGCGAAAAGAAGAATAATTTGTAGGACTCTATGTGATTGGGATGTGGCATTAGCTTTAAGTCTGTTGCTTTATATAGTTTTCAAGTATGCAATTACAAGGACTTTCAGGATTCTGTATTTCTGTTTGTTAGCCACGGACCCGAGTAGTTGAATTTCTCATCAAACTAATCAGCTTCCAGACTGGTACTTGAAAAGTCAATTTAGATGACCTAAATTACTTAATGGGCTAAACCCGTCTCTTGCATATAGGTTATGCTAGCAACCTGATAAGAATTCTTAGCTTAGCTGATTTCATTTCTTTGCAAAGAGAAAAAGTATTCACTTTTTTACTGCAAATCTTCATTCAGGTGTCTACATAATTACTGCAATCTTTGACAATTACTCAGTATCTTTCATTTTATTTTATTTTGAGTTTTACTTCTTGAACACATCAACTTTTGTGTATGAAAAGATCAATAAATAACTATAAACACTACCAGGATTCAATTATTTCAGCACATATAAAAACCTAATTCTGAAAACTACTCGCTCCAATTACTTGAGACTTGGCATATTGCTTTTTCGATGATGAAGTTGATTAAGATTGATTTGTGAAATCAAATGAATAATGAGTTCTTAAGTGGTTGTTTGGTGTTTTTACCTTATACAACTATTTCTAACGAGACTATTATGATTAAAAAATATGTATACTGTTATGAATACATTTTAAAAAATGAGAACTCGCCAACGAAAATTATAGTAATAAACTAATATTTTTAATATAATGTCGCTACAAGATTTGTTCTTTGTTTGCTCCTTTAAATATGGACACACTTACAAAAAATCTTGCTTACGCCCCGGATACATATAGCTTTGGAACACTGAAATTTTAGGTTTGGTATAATTAATACTTCAGGTATTGGTATTTCAGGCTTTGGTAAGGCTGGAATATTTCAGGCTTTGGGGATTCTGGTGTAGGGATCTCAGGGAGGCGTCTATAGAAAGCGGCTCGTGTAGTTGCACCAGCTAACTAATCATGCATGAAGCATAAGTTGCCCTTATCATTCTTTTGGAGAAGGTGAAGTAGAGGAAATTGAATCCATTTAATGTGCATTAGGATGAATGAAACAAAAAGCACATTAGTTAAATCACCAGTTTGGTTCTACACTAAAAATGTTAGGTCCACTCTGTTTTGTGGCACTTATATATACTAAAAGAGAACATACCATTTTGTGGTACAGGTACCTGAAACATTGTCAGAAGAGGTAATAGCGAAAATGAGTGCACCTCCAAAGAGTGATGTGCCTATTATAACACCTCAAGAACTTGCTGAAGCTGATGGTTTCGTTTTTGGATTCCCTACAAGGTTCGGAATAATGTCCGCTCAGTTTAAAGCATTCCTTGATGCAACTGGAGGTCTATGGAGAACACAACAACTAGCTGGCAAGCCTGCAGGCATATTCTATAGTACTGGATCCCAAGGCGGTGGACAAGAAACAACACCGTATGATCTTATTTCACATAAATTCATACGACTAAACATGATAAACTGTCGTTCTCTTCCTTGTTATTGTTTTAACCCGAGGTATATGATAGGTTGACTGCTATAACTCAGCTTGTTCATCATGGAATGATATATGTACCCATCGGATACACATTCGGTGCTGGCATGTTTGAAATGGAAAACGTGAAAGGAGGAAGTCCATATGGAGCTCGAACATTCGTTGATGATGGCTCCAGACAGCCATCTGAGCTTGAATTGCAGTAGGCACATCACCAAGGTAAATACATCGCTGCCATCGCCAAGAAACTCAAGGGTGCACCCTAATTTCTCCTGCAAAGACATTCTTCTAATACATAATTTATCTCTGTGATTGTCAAAGTCTACTTTTTTTTAATTGGGTATGGAATCTGTATGTATCTGATTACTCTGTAATGGAAGAAATTGGTTACTATAAATTAGGAAGGAAAAACTGTGAGGGAAAGAATGGATAAACAGAGACGGTCAAGCATAGGAACTAAACCAAAGTTACATATATCAAAGCTTTATCATAATGTATATATAGAAATGCATAAAACACTCATATATTATAATAACACGACAAAGTCGGTATATCCAAATCAAAAACTACTATAAAAGAATTAAAATTTCTTCTCCTAGCAGAAAGTATCAAATGCTATCTCCATGACACAACTCAGGTGGCAAATTTCATAGACTAAGATGGAAATCTCAAAACATCAGTTGGGTACTTTCTTATAGAGTGAAAGTAGCATATAATTTACTCAAGGAGTAGCGGGTTTGTATGGTGGAGAAAGTGAAGGAAGAGTTGGTTTAGGCAGTTCTGGAATTTCAGGCTTTGGCATTGTTGGAACTTTTAGCCTTGGAAGCTCAGAGACTTTTGGCTTTGGTAGTTCTGGGATTTCAGGCTTTGGGATAGTTGGTACTTCTAGCTTCGGAAGCTCTGGGACTTTTGGCTTTGGTAGTTCTGGGATTTCAGGCTTTGGGATAGTTGGTACTTCTAGTTTCGGAAGTTCTGGGACTTTTGGCTTTGGTAGTTCTGGGATTTTAGGCTTTGGCATAGTTGGTTCTTCTGTCTTTTGCATTGTTGAGACTTTTTGCTTTGGAAGCTCGGGGGCTTTTGGCTTTGGTAATTCTGGGATTTTAGGCTTTGGCATAGTTGGTACTTCTGGCTTTGGAAGTTCTGGGACCTTTGGCTTTGGTAGTTCTGGAATTTCTGGCTTTGGCACAGTCGGTAGCTCGGGCTTTGGTAAAGTTGGAACTTCAGGCTTTTTCATAGCCGGAGGAACCTCAGTCTTTGGCACTGCTGGGATTTCTGACCTTTTGAAAGGAGGAAACTCTAGATTTGGCATTGCGGGAATCTCAGGCATCTTAGGCATTGGCAAAGTTGGTAATTGGGGCTTCGGGAAAGTTGGTATCTCAGGCTTTGGAACAGCAGGGCTCTCAGGCTTTGGTATGGTTGGAAACTCATGTTTCGGCACAGTTGGGATTTCAGGCTTTGGCAACGCTGGCACTTTGGGGAGTTCTGGTTTAGGTATCTCAGGGAGGGGCGTCTCTAGAAGGTGTCGTGCAGTTGCTCCAGTTATGTTGCCATAAATAAAGAATAAATTGAGAAATGTAAGTAGTAAAAGAGAAGATAAGTGGTAATGCTGAGCCATTTATCTGCAAATCTTAGAAGATTAAAGAATAATGTGTATATATAAGAGTGGATGTGGGATTGGGTTTATATAGGTTTTTAAGAATGCATGCAACAAGGACTTGTAGGATTTTGTTTGTTAGACAGGGACCTGAGTAGTTGAATTTCTCATCAAACTAATTAGCTTATACTTCAAAAGTCAGTGTAGATGACCTAAATTACATCGTAGTCTGAACCTGTCACAAGCATATATGTTATGCTGGCAAATCTCATAAGAATTAACTGATTTTATTTAATTGAAGAGAGAATAAGTATTCACTTTTTAGCTTTTACCAAATCTTCATTTTGGTGTGTACGTAATAACTCGGTAACACTCACAAAATCTACCAAATGTCAAAATAGAAGGTGATTACTGTAGAGTTTCTTTCAAGCTTTAGAATTAATGTTTTTCTGGTTAACATCCATTAGGTACTACACCATAGGCAACTAATAATTGATGCGTCCAACTAAGTTCAATATTTTTACACGTATCACATATTGAATGTAGTAATAATGTATGGATTCATAGAAACCAGTAGCCTAGGTTTCGTATATGTATTAAGAAATACATAAATAACGAGTTAATATCTTAAAAGGTCACTCAACTTAGAAAATTTATCTAGTAAAGTCATTAAACTTTATTTTATATCAATAAAATCACTCAATTCATGCATTTGTGTCAATAAAATCACTCAGCATATGTATTTGTATCAATAAAATCAATCAACTAAATTGGACAAAATTGAATATTATTTTTATACCATGAAACATAAATCCCATAAGTAAATAAAATTAAATAAAACTCATTAAGAAATTTTATGGACAAATTTAATTAGTGAAATAAATACTCTTATGGCATTTCAATAAATAAATACACAATAATATCATATGAAATTTCCTGCTCTACAATTATCATTTATAGCAAAAAAAGTTTAAGTACCTATCATTTTCCATGAAATTAAAGTGTTCCACAAATATTTTTATAGAAAAAACATTAAAAACGAAACAAAATAGAAGTTCAATACTCACTTTTTTTTTGGAAAATACTCACCAATGCGATGCATTCTGAAATTCGTTGTAAACAGAGCATAATTTTTTTTTAAACATTCTCACAACTTTCTGAAAATAGAAAAATAAAAACTCGTAGACAGAAGTGGAAAAATAAAGTTAAATTTTGTGACCTTCGAGTTTTCGTCGTGAATTTGTTTTGAGTATCAGTGTATATTTGTTTATTGTAATGTAATATCATAAGAGTATTTGTTTAACTAATTAAGTTTGTCTTTAAATTTTTTTTATTGAGTTTTAAATTTTTTATTTATTGTGGAGTTTATTTTTACATGTTATAAAAAGTAATTTAATGATAAATTTAGTTGAGTGATTTTATTGATATAAATACACAAATTAAGTGATTTTATTGATACAAAACAAAGTTCAATGACTTTACTAGCTAAATTCTCTAAGTTGAGTGACATTTTAAGCTATTAACTCCATAAATAACTATATATATGTGACTGTAAATACATTTATCATTGTATATTAATTTAATACAATATAAAAATTCATAAACTTCTAATTTTAAACTCAGCCTGATCGCGGTTCCATGATAAGTAGCATTCTCTTACTTCTAGTTTTCACTAGTTACACTAAATTCTTTCATTGTTCTAATTAATTAAAAAAATCTGTTAGTTTATCAATTGTTTACCTTTCTAAAACTCTAAAATAACATTTGATTGTTACTGATCAATACACGAAGTTATATGAATTTGAACAAAGTGGAAAAACTCTAGAGAAATGACCAAAAACTTCAATAGAAAAAAGGTCAAATAATCAGTTTGATGGCTTGAACACCATAGAATTTCAATATTATTTAGTAGTGCCTAGAGGCCCTGACATATCGCGGTCTGAATAAAAATTCAGTCCGCTAAACTATAGGGACAAACAGAGCTAGCATATCTATTCCAGGGATACCTGCTACATAGATTAACCTTCTTACCGGTATCAGTTTACCTTGATAAAAATATCAGTTTTTTTTTTTACTAAAACAATAATTTTGAACTAGCTTTCTCCCACTTGACTATTCCAGGGATACCTACTACCTCCCACTCACATAGGCACCGGATAACTCAGCACACCAATGCATAGGCAAATTGGAAGAGATCACCTAGGTTTTTCCATCTTGGAATTTGAACCTTGGTCTCCAAGATATCTACCAACTTCATTAACCATTATGCCACACTCTTTGGTGAAATAACACTATCTGTCAAAGTAAATACATAAAAAAGGAAAACAATTGAATCATAGCCCATTCACTTTTTTTTTTTGAGAATAGTAACTGAAGCTCATTCACTTTAAGAGGTTACCTTATTTAAGTCACAACTACTGACCAGACATCTTTATCCAATTGTATCCTTCTTTATACCAATAGAGGAGCTCCAAATCTTCTTTGTGTTGGTCAGCATTTTAATATTAATATTTGTGTATATTAATTTGCTTAAAACTTTGGAGTCAAAGTGTTGCCTTTGCTGTAAGTTGTCCGTTGGTGATAATTCTTTTGTCTTAACCGTTGGACATTTATTTGGAGCATTACACCATTTGGAGTAAGTGCTGGTGTTATGACTCTTTTCTTGCATCATCAGTAGTGGCATCTTGGCCATTACTTCTCCATAATATTTCTCCATTATCTCATTCTTTATTCCTCCATTATACCTTGTAACATATGTAATTCTTAGGCAGAGGCGAAGCCACCTTATACTAAGGGGGTTCGTCAAACCCCCTTCGGCGGAAAATTATATTATTTATACATGGTTGACATAATTTTTTATGTATATATAGTACATGTCGAACCCCCTTCGGCTACTTCGTGTATCTATTTCTATAGATTTTGAACCCCCTTATTGAAAATCATGGCTCCGCCGCTGCTCCTAGGTCATTTATCTTCACTATTTACTACCCCACTATCTTCCTATTCATTGTTAGGAAGACTTTCTCAACTATAAATAGTGGTGGTCTTCATTTGGTTTGGTGCATACAAGAAAAGATAGAGTGGATAAAAGTTAGTCAAAAGAGAGTTCTTATTAGTTGAAGGGAGGTGTTCTTTTTGTGGAGCTTTGGACTCAACTCTTGTCCAGGGTTTCTTGAGTTACACTTTGTGATTAGATTGTTGTATCCTAGAGGGGACAAGTCAAGAAGGACTACTGCTTGACCGGTGAAAAACATTTATTGTAGTGGACTTGAATCTCCTTAAAGAGAGCGAAATATCCGCACCTCAGCCTGAAGAGTTTTTAATTTCTTCACTTTATTTTCGATTGTAATCCTGTAATTTTGTTATCTTGTAATTTTTCACTAACAATTTTAAGGAGATTCATAATGACTACAATTGAAAAAAACCACGGATGTCAAGATGGGAGATCTCAACAAGCCATTTCGGTTCAATGGTAATCATTTCAAGAGATGGAAGGGTAAAGTACTTTTCTACTTAAGTCCTCTCAATGTCTTATGTGTTAAGTGAAGAATCCTAATAAAGTTGACATCACCTCTATGAATGGTGATGAAACTATTTCTCATCTAGAAAAAGTGGAAAAGTATGATGGTGATTCCTATAAGTGTCGGTATTATATTCTTAATTTTCTATTTGATAATTTTTATGAATATTATGATAGAACTAATTACTCTAGTGCAAAGAAAATTTGGTAGGCATTGCAGAGTAAGTATGATACCAAAGAGGTTGGAACAAAAAAATATGTGA